TTTGGTAACAAAGTTTGTATTGTTGTTATATAAAAAATATCACCAACGTATCATAGTAGCACGCTACTAAGACGCCAATGAACAGAACTCCATGTATCATAGCGCTAATGCACTAAGACATGAAGTTGAGTATGCCTGTTACACTTAAAAGTGCTACCAAACACACTCATCGTCCCAATCCGAAATATAGACGACGCATAGCTATGCGCTACTACGTCGCCCACAAACGGTATGGGTGTGCGATGTCCACGGGAAAGCCGTATTGCTACAACAAACCCGCTTACCACCAGCACTAAGATGATATGTCTAGGACACATCGGTTAGCGAGTCCAAGTTTACCTCGGACCAATTGCTCGTGAAGCAGCACACACGCCACCATAATATTCCTTTTCAAGTCCCTACTTTATAAGGACTAGTCATTTTGCTACAGTACTAGGAGCAGTCAGTCACCCGACCACCCCATACAATGCTTGTGCATCAAGGAGACCTCCTATAATATTGCTTTTGTATCATTTTCCCTATTTTTTTTTTTTTTTTTTTTGAGTTTAATATCATAAGTCCCTAATATAGGACTAGTCATTGTGCTACAGTACTTCAGGCAGTCGGGCTCCCGACCACCCCATATATATGTACAACTGCAGGTATGTACCTCTGACAGCTTCCTCCATACAAGACATCTATACGTGAACACCTTCCATAACTTAGGAAAATTTTCTTTAATACATGAACTCCTTCAACAACTTAGGAAATTTCATCTATACGTGAACTCCTTCCACAACTTAGAAAAATTTTCTTTTATACACGAACACCTCCCATGACTTAAACAATTTTTAACAAATTTTCTAAATATCTTATAAACGTTATTTAACTTAATTTTATAATATTTTTTGACTTGTATTTCTATTATTTATCTTATTTTAAACATTTTTTTCAAGTTTTTAAATAAATTTATTTATTACGAAAAACAATAATTTTAATTTACTTTAATTTACTATGTTAATGGGATAATGTCCGAAATATATTAACTTTATGTTTATTAATTTAACTTAATTGCTTAATATATATCTTTTAAGACTATTTTTGACGCCCCTTTATATTGAATTTAATTATTAATAATAATATTGGGCCGTCACAGTATGATAGTATCACGAGTTTAATCGTGAAGTGTGATTGTGAAATTTGGCAGCTAAAATTAAACCGAACAATTACTATGAGCAGTCCCCATGGTAGATGAGTTAGAATATGTAAAGGGATGTAACCTCTCTCCGCGGTACCAGTGAGTCAAGCCGATAAGAGAGAACTTGGTCTTCGAGCCGAAGATTCGAGCTTCTCTTCGCTGGATGTGATACATTTGAAGAAGTTGGTACTGAGATGTCTCAGCCCAGTTATGAAAACAGTATTTCATCACTGGGCTGAGACATCCGAGCTTTTTCTGATTGTCTTGACTCACGGGCACTGCGAAGAGATGTAGCACCATTTTGCGGATTTTATCGCATCAACCACGGGAGTTGCTCCGAGGAATTGTTCTGACTAAGTTACGATCCATTTCAGTTTGTTTTGACTGTACAGATTTAGTGTGACTGTAATTTACGTAGTTTCGATTATTTTTGGGATAAAAAATTACCTATATTAAAAATGATAGGAATCGATTCAGTAAACGATTCTGAAGAAACTACTTTCTCAAAGTGCGTTAATTATGTTTATATATATATATACAATATGTAACATAATTAACGCACACCCTCAGACACTCCAATTAGTATATTATGTTATAATCATAATACATACACTGAATTTTTAGTTAAACATTTTTATGCTCTGATTATTTATCAAATTAGTTATACTAATTCCGGAAGAATGTTGTGGTCACAGTACAAATCCACGAACGCAAAGACTTTAACGTGCTTGAAATAAAGTTCTTTTTTCTTTACTTTTATTGAATGACAGAATTAGTAATAATACAAATAAAACTGCACTCTTAAAAGTCTTATTGCCTTAAGTTACGGTCCATTTCAGTTTTTTTTAAAGAATATTAACAATGCTATAAACATTACTAATATTCCCCTTAACCACTCGTGGTAAGCTTAAATTGCTTGTGTTAGTGGTTCACGCCAGTAGTCGAATGGTGGATTCGAACCCACGACCTTTTTGAGTTCGCGGTCCGCGCCTTGCCATTAGGCTACTGTCGTTATGACTGCACAGATTTAGTGTGACTGTAATTTACGTAGTTTTAATTATTTTTGGGATAAAAAATTACCTATATTAAAAATGATAGGAATCCATTCAGTAAACGATTCTGAAGAAACTACTTTCTCAAAGTGCGTTAATTATGTTACATATTGTAATATATATGTAACATAATTAACGCACTTTGAGATATATATTTATAAATAATAATAATAATTTGAGATATTTATATATATAAATCACGTATCACAAACGATAGGTCACTGATAAAATTAAATAATAAAGGCTACTGAATTCTTATTCATTTATAACCAAACCTTAAGGAGGAACCCAGACCGGTGGCCACTATCGGAATAATTTACCGCAATGACTACGTTTGGCAAAATTACTAACTGAAAAACTGTTACTATGAGAGAAGCTCTTTAGTTGAATAAATTGGGTGTTTATCGGCATAGCTTTATTTTCACCAATTTCATTTGTTATCAAATTGTCTGACGTAAATAATTCAAAATTAAGTGCACTGTGAGATTTTTGACTCTATTTGATGAATTAGTTCGTGGCATCGTTAGCACCAATTAAGCAAAAGCTGTATGAAAATTTTCATGAATTTTATTTAAACATATACGAGAGCCATGTAGCAGGCCGTGGGATTTTATCATGGCACGGGAGCAAAAAGTGTACGATTCCCTCGAGGACAAATGAATTTTCTATAGGGAATGTTACGTGCTGACTTATCACGTATCTGGTGAATTGGTGAACAATAACTTCGTGGAAAAACCTAGATGTTTGAATAGTTAAAAGGTATTTTAATTGCAATTTCAAGTATCGATTTACTACGTTCTCGAAGGTGAGGAAAACATCGCGAGGAAACATGCATATCTGTTGTTCCCCAATTGAGGTCATTCCGTGAGCAGCGACAACTTTTTTGACTAAAAATTGTCTGCCTGTGCCCAGAAATGACGATGACGATGGCTGCTACTTTTTAACATTTAATGGGGCAATAACGAGTAGAACCCATCATCACCATCATTACATCCTATCGGAAGTCCACGTAGCCCTCCCCATCAATTGTCAAAGGCTGGATATTTGCTATGACGATATGAGACACTACAACAAGGCGAACATTTTTCTACTTCCATTCATGAGTGTGGTTCTTCCCACTCTTTCACTGTGAATAGTTCTTTTGGAACTTCATTTGGAATGAACCTAATTTTAAAATGTTTAACCTTTTTAATACTTTACAGCACCAATGGTCATGGTTTGACATCCTGATGTTATAGTTAACGATGGCTATTGGTCTTGCGGTAGTATGCTTGAGTTTAAATTTAATTTTAGTAACTATGGGATCCCAAGCAGATGGTAGCACCCAGACATGTTCTCTATTTAAATTAGGATGTTTTTTTCTTAAATTTTAATAGCCTCGAAAATAACCCTTCGTAGGAATCGGGGTTCTTTTGCGAGGATTTATCAGATATCAGATCTGATATAATGGCTGGGATGATACTGAACATGTTGAGATACTTCAGACTTCTTGGAGCTTCGGTGCTTCATATCAGCGATATGTTATTTTATGCGGATTTTTAGGGATTTTTCATCCAAAGATGCATATAAAAACCCACGAAAAAAGTAAAAATTTAATGCGATAAAATTCGTAAATTTAGTTTAGTTATTCGTAAATTTAGTTTAATCTGCAGTCTTTGCGTAAATATAAGAAATCATTATAGAACATCATTTGTAATATTTTGCAGACTACTCGTAATCGTAAATGGGACCAATATTATGAATCAAATATCACAAATAAATGTCATACCGTAAATTAATAGACGACGGTAAAATTCATCATTGTTTTGTTAAAACTATACTAACATTAATGATGAAAAAATGTAAATATAAATAACGCAATTTTTTCCAAATGTAAACATATTAATAAAAAATTTATTCTTTAAAGTAAGCTATACCTTATCCATGGCTATATTATTTATAAGAAGAAAGTATTGCTTCAAAGAAACCTATTTATTTGACAAACATGAGTCTTTTAAGCGCCTTATTCACGGTCCATCTTGACGTACGTCCGCTCAAGGCCGCGGTGCTGGACGTAGCATACACTATCGTGCGCGCATCCAGCGTGTTAGATTATCTTATTTGTGGTGCTAGATCACAGATCACATTTAAAAGCGTAGAAAAACGTTAATAGTTGTATGGTATAAAAAATTCTTGCCTCAGTAACAATTTTTGGGATACCATATCACTTAAAGTTACTAAGGAAATAAATGTACACAATACGTCATACATTTATTCATAGTATTATATTATTATAGTATCGACGAGAAGTGACCTTGTAATGACTTCAAAAGGATGTAATAATATGTGACCCGCCATTTTATGTGCCGAATTTATAATCTAAATGATATATAAATATGATCGTTTATGAACATCAGCATACAGTCTTCACCAGTGAATCAAATCGCATAGTAATAAAATAGCTACAACGTTTTTCAAAATACTTTCTTTGACATTTTTTGACTTTGACGTTTTGTATATAAAATGCTCTAAACCGGATTATAAATATTTTTATATTAAGATATCAATTACACAAAACGGCCAACGGATTCGACTGCAATTTCGTTCACATATACAAATATCATGTTCTGGATTAACACATGGAATACTTTGTAAAATATGGAGTATTTTGTTCATGGTAGAGCCATGGCAACTTATAATATAGTTGTAGTATAATTTATTGGGCTCGTTCGGGAAAAGACCTCGCTCTTACCGAAAAATTACTGCGTAAAATAGCAGCTTACTGCTGCTGTATGTTCGTATGGTGAGTGTAGAGAAACGGAGACCCTTTTTACTTAAAACGAGGTGTTTCATCTTAGTCCACAGGGGTGACGACGCATCTGCATTTTGATTTTTAAATTGAGGAAAGATGTAGATGTATATGCGCTGGAGGATTCACTTACTATCAGGTTAGCTGTGCGCTAGTTTGTCACCCTCATTAAATGAAAATATCTGTTGACCCTGCAGGCCATCCCTGGAACTTCCCGCTATGGTCGATCTTAAACATATATTTCTACGAACACTCGGTATATATTTTTGTAAACTAATAGTTAACTCATAACATCAATCTATCTATCCTCATCCTATCCTATCCAATCTATCTATCCGAGCAGAAATTTCGAATGTAGTAAAAAAAAAACACTTTTCTTTTTAATTATTTTGACAACGATAACTTTCGAACGGACCCAACGATTTTGATGTAATTGGTAACAATCGACGAAATTTTTTAAAAACAATAATAAAATCTATTATAAAAAAATTTTACTGTAAATTCAAAAGTTATGTGAAAAAAACACTTTTTTAGAAATTTATCATCATACCTACGCATTAATCGATTTTGAAGCGGTACGCAGCATTTTGAAATTGATCGCTACATCCCTTTAAAAGTTATTGCAAAAAACCTTTTAGAATTTTTTTTGAGATTTGTCCATATCTAACGGTCTGAATCGGTTAAAACAGTATTAAAAATTTAAGTTTTGTGAAACCATTTCGAATGCCACTAGGATCTCTAAACGTCGAGATCGGATGAAATCTCGATTTTCGAAAACTCTGGTGTAACCAATAACTTCCCGATTTTTCGAAAATCATGGATTTTCATAGCGGAAAGTTAAAAATCATGGAAAGTTACCACAAGAAAATGAAGATGACGGTTTTTTTGTTTTAATGTAGATGGAGTAGGGAGCAAAAAAAGTGAAATATAAACCATTGCACTAAACAAAATTTTGGTAATACTTATTTACGTAACTTAGAAAAATACTCCATTAATACGAGTACCTACTTAAAAATAAAGAAATCAAAATTATTAAGTTTGACGAAATTTTGGGTGGCAACAATACCTTGCGCAAATAAATACTTGCTTTAGAGTCTATATAGATAAATAATTCATTAATTCCTCATTAATTATAATCTGCTGCTCAATATACGTCGTCGATTACGTTATGGGGCGGATTTTTCCATTGTTGTCACACTTGGTAGGTGAGTTGTCAACCGCAGTTTTATATTATTTTCAGTTTTTATCGGCAACACGCTACTACCCATCTCCTGTTCATTTCCCGCTATCGCTTCCACGATGATACGAGACAGTGTATTTTCATACGACGCCCCTGTATGGTATATAGATACATAAATAATTTTTGACGCACTCTTGCTTACGAGTAATGTCACATTCGTTTTATTAAATAGTTTCTACTGTAGTAGCAAAAGAAAATTACTTTTGGCAAATAAAATGTAAAAAAATGTCAGTCTTTAACGTTTTTGATAAAAACTTAGACTTAGAGAGAACATAGACCTCCCACGTAGATTGACTCATAGGGGGAATATTTGCCACAGTTGCCACGCTTAGCAAACGGGTTGGCAACCGCAGTTTTTTATTTTTAGGCGTTATTAGGAAGACGCTGCTACACATTTCCTAATTTGTTTCCTTCTGTCGCCTCTTACTATACACTTACTGGATGTTATGGGATAGTGGAATTCTTACACCGTCACTGCACAGTATAAAAACTTTTGATTTAGTTAATTTGAAATAGTGTGCCATATTAATATTTTTTCCGTAGGCAAGTGTATACGTGTCGTCACATTTCGTCAGACATTGTCGGCCTTGTAACTGAGAAGTCTTTGGAATGTATCGCGGAAACAGGTGCCGATATTAATATCTTGCAACGAATTTTCTAGTGGCAGTTTGACAGTAATAAAACAAGCAAAAATTTTTCGTTCTGCCTCTTCAAGAAAGCAGGCTTCAGTGATGACATTGTCCACTTCCACATGGATAAGCTGCGAGCACTGTACGAGAAGAGCGACAAAAAGAACAAGTTAAAGAGGTTATATATGAGTGCGCCAAGATACAAGAGAAGAGCCCCTTAGAAACTATGTACAAAATTATTCTATGTTTCTTTGACAAAACACCAGTCTTGCTTGAAGTAAAACTAGACTAGGCATTTTTTAACAACTTATGCAATATTGAAATATTTTATTGTTTGCTGTTATTTGATGTGTAAAACAATGTAGTTACTACTGTACTACGTAACTACCGTAGACACTTCACTTGTTAAAGATTTCTTAAATAAAGTTTTGATTTAGTCATGTTTTTTTTGTCATGGCTTACAAATTAATTGGATTCGAATAATTTTTTTTGTTCCCTAAGTACGGTACTTACATTTAACAGCGATAACTACATACGATGTGTTTTTAGCAAAAAAGGACTCAAGAAGGATCAGGAAGATGTTGCTCTCTCGCTCTTTTGTATAGAATAAGAGTGGAAAACGAACATACACTCCACTTGATGGTAAGTGTGGTAATACCGTGGCCTATAGACATCTGCTTTTATCCTCGATTAAGAATCAAAATGCAGATGCGTTGTCACCCCTAAGGACTAAGATGGAATGCCTCGTTTTGAATAAAAATGGTCTCCGGTTCTCTACACTCACCATACAAAACACAGCAGTATTGAGTTGCCATTTGACGCTAGTATTCTGTGAGAGTATGACTCTTCCCCGGTTGAACCGACCCATTCGTGCTACAACTGTATTACTAATACAGCTGGAGTATGTCTACCACGAAAACCTACTAGTTTCTCTCTATTGCTTGTTACGATACTCACGAGTATTATTTGTTATAGTGGGTTTTCTTACGTCGCCACTACAGGCCGCCTTAGCGCCTAATTGTCAGTTAGGCGCCTAGGCGGCCGATAATGATAATTTATAAAAAAATTATACAAACAAGTAATGATAGTGATAACTTATTACTTATCTAGTATGTTACATAGTTATAAAAATATGGCTGTAACACGCAAAGAATGGCTCGACCAGGGAACGACTACGCTCTAACAGAATACCAGCGTGAGATAGCAGCTTATTTCTGCTTTGTTTCTTATGATAAGTGTAGAAAACCAGAGAGCCATTTTATTAGAAATAAAGCATCCTTAAAATTTCATTTTATATCTCCTATGACGGCGACTATTTGTGCAATAGTTCTTGTCGCATGGTATAATGCAATGTTTAAACCGGCTTTACATGTTGGCCGAGCGAAGGTGAGCACCAACGTTATAGACAGCCCATTTGTCCAGTCTCGTCTTTGCTCGGCGACGCTCGCCTAGCTGGCCGAGTGCAGGCGAGCGCCAACGTGTATAAGATTCGTTTGGCATGCCTTGCCGCCACTCGGGTTAGCTCGCTACGACTCGTCCATTTCGGAACCGTGTCGGTTTTTCTCCACAAATCAAAGGCATTGACATGCGCTACTTCAGTCGATGTTTCCGTACTACCAAGGGCCAAGGGGCTATGTCCTCTTTTAATGGTTCGCAAGTTATTTTGACGTGGAATACGATCCAGTACTAAACTCCTTGTACCGTGTAAAAGTAAAGTTACAGCCTATATACGTCCCACAGCTGGGCACAGGCCTCTCTTCATTTCTGAGAGGGTTTTTAGGGCAAGGAAGTGTCCGCCGCGCTGCCCTAATGCGTGTTGGCGAACTTCACATGTCTTCGAAATAATTTTTTTTCTTATTCCTCAGACATGCAGGTTTCCACACGATGTTTTCCTTCACCGCCGAGCACGTGGTAAATCAGAACTTAAAATTGCAATTAACAATTTCATTGGTGCCGGCGGGGATCGAACCCGGGTTACTCGCGTTCTGTTATATTTACAGCGAGCGTTAACCATCTGAGCTACCACGGCTCTTGTTGTACTTTTATACAAATATTTTAAACCTTTCCCAAATGGGAATGGATTAATTACAAGAATCCGATTGATGTGAACGTGGTACAACTGGAATAGGGACGATTTGATGTTTTAAACGTTTTTGAACCCGTTCTTCGTAAACGGCGTTTTTACTTAAAATAATTATAAGGCACTACCAGCAGCTTCAAAAAAAGCAAGTTCTTCAAAACTTGATTACCGGAAACTCATACGAAGAAATCGATTTGTGATAAATAGCATGCGGACAATTACGAATATATCATATACGTTCAAATACTTAAATTATAATATGGCTATTATCTATTTTTAACTCGTTTTTATAATATACACGAAACCACGAAATATGTTACTTTAAATTTCACTACCTAAATATAAATGCGCATGAATTTATTATAACAAATTGTTTTTGTAAATATTGTATTTTAATTAAAATTAACATTGATGCTTGGAGCTGGAAGAAGAGGTAGACAAGTTGCGCTGGCATATTATTGGATTATCCGAGGTCCGAAGAGAGGGGGAGGACACGGCAATGCTCGAGTCCGGCAACTTGTTCTATCACCGGGAGGGCGACCATCTGTCCCAAGGAGGTGACGGATTTATCGTCCACAAGTCGCTTGTCAACAACGTTGTAAAGATTGGGAGTGTGTCGACGAGGGTCGCGTACCTGATACTCAGAATCACCAAACGGTATTCGCTGAAGGTCATACAGGCTTACGCACCAACCTCGTCACATCCCGATGAGGAGGTGGAGGAAATGTATGAGGATATTTTCAGAGCCATGCATTCCTCCAAAACCCACTACACGGTGTTGATGGGAGACTTCAACGCAAAACTAGGCACAAGAGAAAGCGGTGAGCTGAAGGTAGGGAAATTTGGAGTAGGGCAGCGGAACCGAATCCAAAGGGCCAGCAGCTGGCCAACTTTATGGATAAAGAGGAACTCTTTATGATGAACTCTTTCTTCCAGAAGCGGCTCCACAGGAAGTGGACCTGGTTGAGCCCCGACGGTTCGAAAAAAAATGAGATTGACTTCATTATGACGACCAGACGCCAAATGTTCAGTGATGTCTCAGTGATCGCAAGGGTGAAAACTGGCAGCGATCACCGAATGGTTAGAGGCACACTGAACCTATACGTTAAGTTGAAGAGGTCTCGTCTAATGAACGCTTCGTCCCCCAGTGATATAATCCAGAATCCTGAAACCTTTCAGCTCGAGTTACGTAACCGCTTTCAGTGCCTAGAAGATTGCAATGCAGTGAACGATATGAATGACAAGCTCGTGGAAACTGTCCATGCGGTCGGAGCTAAGTTCTGCAAGACCCGCCGCAGAAGAACACAAAAACTCTCCGATCACACTCTTAATCTCATGGCAGTTAGACGGGAGATGAGGCTGCAATCGTCAACAGATTTAACAGCATACACGCAACTGAACAGACAGATCTCCAAATGCATGCAGCGAGACTTACGCAACTTTAATACTGCTCGTATTAAAGAAGCGATCGAGCGGAACCAGGGCTCCAAAGTCTTTGCCAAAGATCTGTCTGCCAGAAAGAGCCAACTGTCAAAGCTGAAGACTGAGTGTGGCAACATCGTTTCCGGGACACCTGAGATTCTGAGTGAGATTGAGAGGTTCTATGGGCAGTTGTACACATCATCGTTGGAGCCACACGCAAGTGTGAGTAACGATCCAAGAGCAAGTCTTATCCGACACTATTCCGATGATATCCCAGATGTCAGTCTGAGCGAGATTAGAATGGCTCTCCAGCACCTTAAAATGGCAAGGCCCCGGGCGAGGATGGAATTACAGCGGAGCTTCTGAAAGCGGGTGGAACACCGGTACTTGAAGTCCTTCAGAAGCTCTTCATTTCCGTCCTACATCGTGGCACTACTCCGGAGGCGTGGAGCAGAAGCGTGGTGGTCTTGTTCTTTAAGAAAGGCGACAACGCTCTCTTGAAGAACTACAGACCGATTTCCCTTCTGAGCCGCGTCTACGTGCTGTTTTCGAGAGTCATTACGAATCGTCTCGCACGCAGACTCGACGACTTCCAGCCTCCCGAACAAGCCGGTTTCCGAAAGGGCTTCAATACCATAGTCCACATACATACCCTGCGGGAGATTGTACAGAAGACCGAAGAGTACAATCTGCCACTTTGCCTGGCATATGTGGACTATGAGAAAGCCTTTGATTCCGTCGAAATTTGGGCGGTGCTAAAGTCCCTTCAGCGGTGCCAAGTTGACTGTCGGTATATTGAAGTGCTGAAGTGTTTGTACAGTAGGGCTACGATGGCTATCCGAGTACAGAACCAGAGTTCGAAACCTATCCAACTCCAGAGAGGTGTAAGACAGGGTGATGTTATCCCCGAAACTCCTCACCGCTGCGTTGGAAGACGTTTTCAAGATACTGGACTGGAAAGAATACGGTATTAGCATTAATGGTGAGTACATCACTTATCTTCGATTTGCCGACGATATAGTCCTTATGGCAGAATCGCTGGAGGACCTTAGCACTATGCTCAATGACCTCAATGGTGTCTTCCAACGGATAGGTCTTAAGATGAACATGGACAAAACAAAGATCATGTTTAATGTCCATGTCACACCTATGCCGGTAGTTATTGGGAGCACTATGCTCGAAGTTGTTGACGAGTATGTTTACCTGGGATAAATAGTCCGACTAAGTAAGTCCAACTTCGACCGAGAGGTCAATCGACGGATTGATCTCGGCTGGGCAGCGTTCGGGAAATTACGATACATCTTCTCGTCAGGTATACCTCAATCTCCGAAAACTAAAGTGTACAACCAGTGCGTGTTGCCAGTGATGACTTACGGATCAGAGACATGGTCCTTCACTGCTGGCCGTATGAGGACGCTCAAGGTCGCTCAGCGAGCGAGAGGGCTATGCTCGGAGTTTCTCTGCGTGATAGAGTCAGAAATGAGGATATCCGCATTAAAACCAGAGTGACTGACATAGCCCAACGGATTAGTAAGCTGAAGTGGCAATGGGTCTGCCATATAGCTTGAAGAACCGGTAACTGATGGGGAAGAAAGGTTCTCTAGTGGCAGCCTCGTACCGGTAGGCGTGGTGTGGGGCGACCCTCCCACTAGATGGAGTGACGACCTGGTAAGACATGCAGGAATCGATGGATGCAGGTGGCTCAGGACCGTGCTTTGT